TCTCTCTCTCTCTCTCTCTCTCTCTCTCTCTCTCTCTCTCTCTCTCTCTCTCTCTCTCGTCGTAGCGATATCTCCAGCGCAGCAGGTACGTAGTAACCCAATCTTGTATCGCTCAACCTTTCCCTCTCGCTCTCTCTCGGTCTTCTTCTTCGTCGTGGTCTTTTGTGCAGGTGCGCGGCGGCTTCTTCCACCTTCAGGTCAGCTATGGCGGACTATGGCTCTCGGCGGCCACCTCTGCTATGGCACATCTCTCCTGCGACACACAACTTCAGCGCGTGGAATAGCGGGTACCAGCTTCGATACCAATGCAATCGGACTCGTTTTCATTCACACTTAGCATGCATGTAAACAGTAGCGCAGCAAACTGGCGACATGCGCCCACTCAAAACTTAGAGATATGGCATCCAGATACGAGTTCACTTTCAACTGGCTATGGCGACTCAGCGCCCAAACAACTCACTGTTCACATACACCAGATCACCCTGGATATCCCACGCACGTCACTCTGAACTCTCTCACACACACACACTAACTACACATAACTCTAGCTATGGTGGCTATGGCCGCATCTACCCTATCGCTATGCTACGCTCCTCTCTCGCCCACTTCGGCTCCGGGCTCACTGCAGACCTCCTTGCACAAGTCGCTATGGCAGCGCTTGCGCATGGCTCACACAGGAATGAATGAATGGCTGGGCGCTGCCTCTTGATTTATACTTCTGAAATTCGTTGGTCTGCCCTTTGCCATCGGCCCATGGTGCTCACAGTCCCTTGTGGTACTTGCTGGACTCGACTGGGACTGACTGGACCTTACCGCTGACTGACTGGGGACTCACTGCTATCCCACCGGACTCGTACTGCAATCGCACTGCGGTTTAGTCCACCACTTGCCTCACCACTTGACCACTTGCCCACTTGCCGACATTATAAGGACTACAGCTAAGACTTCTGGAACTCGATAAGACTTCTATCCTATAGGTCTACAGATCGAACCCCTGCTACCTACGGACCTATGAAAGCCTATCAACTGTTTACGAATACACAGGTCACAGTTCAACTCTCGGGGTCTACACGGGTACTGTACACAGATAGGGCAAGGTCCAGGGATCGAACCCTGGTCTGCGTCTGCTACTGCAAAGAGGTGAAAACCGTTTCACTCCCACACGTCTCCCCCAAACTAATCAATCAATCAATGGATGAAAACTGTCTGAATGGGCCTGGGCGCAGACACCTTGGCCCAAACGGAAGCTATTGGAAACACACGAGGCCCATCCAGACAGCGACCTGGGCGAGCACTTTCCATAAAGGAAAGAGCTCGAGCTCGCCACTGGTGGGATCATTCGGGCACTGACTTGTGCAATTGGCAGCGCTGCTGAGGTGTGGGCTAGCAGGCTGCTTGCTGTGCGCTAGAGGATGCCGCGCGCGCATGGGCATAGAGGAAGAAGACAAGGCACTGCTGAGGGCAGCGCGCCATAGCCAGGGCTTGGCTTGGATAGCCAGTGGAGGTGGTGGTGGTCTTCGTGTACAGGGAGGAAGACGTGGGTGATGAAGTCAAGGGTGAGAGAGAGAGATGAGGTTGATGATGTGAGGGCACGTACCTGGCCTTGGCAATGGTCTACAAGGTCGACATCTTCATGTACTTTGGTTGTTGCTGCTGACGTCGACAGGATGCATTTCAATTTGTAGGCTGCTACTAGCTGTGTGACTGTAGTCTGGGCGCTGAGCGCCAAGTAGGAGGAAGGACTCTGGATACATATGTTGGTGGTGGCGAGAGTATGCTCTCATTGACATTTGGATTCAGTGCTTTGGTTCTCCGTTGGTGGAATAGCAGTGCATTTTCGCTTTCTGGACAGCGTAGGACTTTTTGGCTTTCAATGTGATTTTGCACTCTGGATTTCTGTCATTTCGCTATCGTTCATTTTCCTTGCACACACACACATGGAAAAAAAAATAAAGAAGAAAAAGAAAGTGTGGCAGTGTATATTTCCATGTTCTGCCTGAAGATTCATTCCGGTTTTGATCATCCTACACACACACACACACACACACAGACCGACATTGCCACGCTTCCTGCCGTGTATAGGCAGGACTGGGGTGCGGCTTCTCCGCGCTGGGTCCACTTGCATATATAAAGAAGAAATGGTCAAAAGAATGGTTTCAGTTTGCTCGTCATGTGTGTCTGGTGTATTTTTCTCGTTCGTTTCCCGAAGTGCGCTCTTTTAGTTTATGGATATGTGACAAATGAGAGCAGCGGGCATCACAGAGGACCATGCATCTATTATAATGTCCCTGGCGGCAAATTGGATTCATGATGTCCGCATACGGAGCATGGGTTCAGTCAGTAAAGGAGGGTCAGTCCTCTGCACGCATGGGTGCAGAAACTCTGGCTGTCACACACTGAAAATGTGAGCAGATCCGAGGAAACGAAATCTCAAAGAAAGTACAGGATAGCACAACGGAAGTCTGACATACCAGTAACCTGACTCGGACCTGACTCAGCAGCATACGTCCAGCAGCGGCATCACACAGGGTTCAGTGCATCAATCATAGAAGCAGTGCTGAACCCAACCATACACAGACGAAATGGGATGAGGAGAGACGATGGAGGAGGAGGGGGGAATCAGCCACCATAGTCCAATGAATCCTGAACTATGTGTCCCCTAAGTCGCTGCTCAACTGCTGTCAATCATAATGTCGCTGAACTGGGCAATCACCCTGATGTCACCAATGTCTCACTGCAAATACTCTCTCCCTCTCTCTCGGAAGTCCAAGAATTAGATGTAGAGGAAGAGGAAGAGCACCGGAAGGAAAAGGAGGAGTGCAGGAAGAAGAAGAAGAAGAAGACGAACCCTCTCTCTCTCTCTCTCTCTCTCTCTCTCTCTCTCTCTCTCTCTCTCTCTCTCTCTCTCTCTCTCTCTCTCTCTCTCTCTCTCTCTCTCTCTCTCAGCTGACCGGTACTAACCTGCGAAAGATGCGATCTTGATGCAGGTATGGACGTGGTGAGGAGGAAGCTGGAGCGAGGATGCCGCGGGTAAGTCACGAGGTGAATCCCCTGGCCTCCACCATTCTCCTAACCCGTCGGTGCTGATGCCATCAACCTCCAACAGCGCCTCCGCAACATGCTCGAACTCTACGTTGCCCAGCGCGTCGACTACTGAATATTACTACTGAACTCTGGCTATAACTGAGGCAGACCAGCTATATATAGCCTGGTCCTGCCTCGTGGCTGCCTCAAAACTGGCGCCCAAAATGAAAGGCTGGCACCTAATGAAGTTGGCGCCAAAACGTTCCTGGGCCTGAATGGCCTGACTGGAGGTACGGGCCTAACTGAGCCTCTAAACGAACAGGCCTAACCTGGCCTGAGAAATACTATGGGCCCTAAAACGGGCTGAAACGGCACTGGTCTAAGAACAGACCCTACACCACTACTAACCAACCCCTAATCCTACCTGGTGGGGCCCTGCAGGGCCCGTGTAGGGCTGAGTAGGGTCCATGAGGGACTGAGTATGACACACTGGCCTTGTAGTTATTCTGGCATAGACAATGACGCCTGCACACAGTATACTGAAAGCTGTGCAACGAAGAAAGTCACAGACCGTTGGCATATTGCCTAATGACACATCAGCAGCCAACTGGAAGAGCACACTTCCATGAACAAATGCAGAAAAGGGCAAGCAGCGTGATACCTGCTTCTATGACATATACCAGGCATAAGCAGTCGGGTGACACAGAAGCCAGTGGTCATCTCACCCCAATCTACTAATTCAAGGGAACAGGGTAGCCAGTGGTCATTGTCCTTGAACGCCAATTTAGCACAACCTTAACAGCCCCAGACGGCTGATTCTCCTTTGTTGGCCTCATGGCTGCAGGTGGACAAAGGAGAATGAGGAGATCACCTGCCTCATAGTTCTAGGTGGGGGAACTGCACCCCCTAGGACCTAGGACATAGACAATGAAGCCAACAAAGGAGAATCATCACACGCGGAGGAGATCGATCGGCTGCAGTGGAGTTGGAAGAATCGGCTCATGATCGGTTTATCATCAGTTGCATGCCAGTAACATTCAGCCAAAGCCAGGTACAGTTCCTTGCTATAATCACATCTTCAATACACCAGAAGTCAACAACATCCGCAGAGATGGACAGCCATACACAATCGTCGGTCATTTCTGATTCTCTGGGCTACCAGAGAGGGGCATTCACCCTCTTTCGGAACATTGTTTGGTCTGAACCTCTGATCCCATTTACTGCAGTTCCACATCAGCTTCTGATTCTTTGATCTCTATGATACCACACTGTGTGCAAGAGAGAGAATAAGGGTGCGATGCCACTGGCAAAGAAGATTGAATCAAGCACCTGAATCTGGACAGGTTTTAATCTTTGACTTTTAAGCAGAGACAAGGGTACCTGTTGCGGCTTTGCTCGCAAGGAAATGAGGGGAAAACAGGAGAAATGAGTCGGGGTGGGGGGATCGGGGGGTTGGGGTTAAGGGGGTGGGGGTCGGGGGTGTTTTGAGACTCACCTGTGTAGTGTTCTTGACTGTGTTGATACACTGCTGCTGGAGCTCTCTCTCTCTCTCTCTCTCTCTCTCTCTCTCTCTCTCTCTCTCTCTCTCTCTCTCTCTCTGTGTGTGTGTGTGTGTGTGTGTGGTGCGCGCGTCGTTTCTCCTTCTATTTTTATTGTTTTTAACTGAACTCCTGATGGTCCACGGGTCAGATATCAAACTGATCCGAACAGATACTAACCACAGTCGAGCGCGCAAGCGAGAGAGAAAGAGAGAGAGAGAGAGAGAGAGTGAGTGAGTGACAGCACCAACGGCCAACCACGGTCGCGCGCACGCAGAGAGAGAGAGAGAGAGAGAGAGAGAGAGAGTGCTTCACGGGGCGCTTCACAACCGGGCGCTTCAGAATAACAGAAGGGCGCGCTTCTCGACAACAGCAGAAGCAGTGCACGTGCGCGCCGTTTTTCCTTTAAAAAAAGGGAAAACAAAACTCTTGATGGTCCACGGGTCAGATATCAAACTGATCGGAACAGATACTACACTTGCTCGTCATCGTCGTCATCGTTTTTGGGGGTGGGGTAGTTAGTTAGGGCTCTCTCTCTCTCTCT